CCCCCCCCCCCCCCCCCCCCCCCCAAATTTAAAGTTTGAGTTGTCTTTACTATTGTTGTTTGTCTAAAATATCATTTCTATTGAGAGAGTCAATAATATACTAAACTTATATACATAACATGGATGGTAGGACTCGAACCTAGGACCTTGCCTAGTTGAGATTATTCTAAACTACTACACTAATGGGTTCTTTTCTTTAGAGTGCTGCTATTTCCACTCCTTGTCCTATTTCCCCACCCACATGTAAATTTGAAAAAATAAAATCCTATCTTTCCATCCACCTTTATTTTTAAAATATAATTTAATTATAATTTGGTACTAAATGATGACATGACATAATTTGGTACAAAAACAACCCATAGTAATTATGAGCCTTGCCTCCAAATTCGAGCTCCATAGATCAATATATCAGAAACCTGGAAATATTACAATGCCTATAGTTAAATTCCACCAGATACAAATATACCCAATTGAATAGGAATCAAAAGAACTGAGAGTTGAAACTATATATTTTGTCAAAGTAACGAATTACTTAATAGCTACAACACAACAAGCCCATGAATTGCTTGAAATTGTTCTCTCTAGGGTCTGAAAAATCCAAAGGCAGAACACCAACATATCCATTGAAATCCACTACATATTGAAGAAGTTGAAAATCCTTTATACCTCTTTGAGCCAGAAAATTTTCTCTCTTGCGGAAGCTTATTTGTGTGCAATAGTTAAACGTGTGTGTTTCTATGATTCGATTTTTCCCAAAATAATATTAATACCCATTTGGCAATGGTGAAGCTAGAATTTCACATTAGAGCCCTTCACAATTTTTTATATAAATAATTCGAATAGGAGTGCTCAAGCGTTAACTGGATGAATAGGTTAATAATATTATTTCATATTGATTAATAATTTATTCATTTATTACAATCATAATTGTCTTGAATTTCATATGTTAAAATGATTGAATATATATTAATCTCATCATCTACACTGTTAAAGACTCAAAATTAATAATTTAAACTTCAACATAGAGAAGAAATACAAAAAAATGTTCATAAATCCCAATATTAAGGTGTCCTACTTAGACATGTAAAAAGAGGAATTCCCAAAGCTTAAGTTAATCAAAAGAAGAAGAGAGAGAGAAAAAAGAAGAAGAGTTTTTACTCCAAAAAGCAAACATATAGCAACATATATAAATTAAAAAAAAAGGGAAAATAACAAATATGAGAAGGTGCCTGGGCCCACACTGGTCCTTAGGTGGCTTTAAGTGCATGTTATGTCCCTCAACTTCCCAATATAGGACATTTCTTTAAAAACTCACAATCTACCACTACCACTAATATTTAATACATAAATGGTGTTTTAGAATATGAGAGATGCCATAAGGCCTGTGGTTTGTGTTTGTACAAATTTCTCACCAGAGAATATACGTTTGTATATTCTTCACCCTTCGAGCTTCCTTCTCTATCTTCCTCGATTCCCGCAAAACAACTAAGAGTAAAATACCACACTCTGGGGGTGTTGGCTAAAAACCCTCCGGTGTCTAAGTTAGTTCAATTTGATCTTTGAGAAAATATGTGGCAATAGCTAAATTGGATAGAGTTTTATCTCACAAGAAGAGTTTGGTGGCAGGAGCAGTGTGTGGTGGCACTTAACCGTGTAAAGAGAGTGGGAGAGAGGGGCGGCGAGAGAGAGAGAGAGAGATAGAGAAAGAGGGTTTGCATAGGGTTTTGAGTGTGAGTTTAGAATTACTATGAATGTCTTGTGTGCCTATGTATTTATAGCTTCCTTGTGTGCTAGGGTTTTGTGAGAATAATCCTTATTTAGTTAGGATTATTCTTCCCTAAAATATTATAGGAATTAATCCAAGAGATTGGATAAAGATTGGTTCCTTGATTTAGGGAGATATTCTTATCTTAAATCAAAGATGATTTCCCTAATTAAAGAGTTAATTACTGTAGACGTCCTTGAACTTGGCCTCGATTTGCATTTGGGTCTATGAACTTTTTTTTTTGGCAATTACATCCGTTAACTCGATAAACAGTTGCAATTAGGTCATGCCATCCAAATTTGTCAATTTATCCGTCAAAATTAGGGGTAAAAGCGTCCTTTCAGTTAGCATGGATGAACTGCTCCTTCTTCTAGAATTATTTACTGTGCTGGAGAAAAGATAAAGTTAAAACAAAAAAAATAATAACAAGAACAAATATATCTTAAAGAATAAAATAACAAAAAATTCAAAAAAATAAAACTTAGAACAAGAACAGTCGCATCAAACCCAGAAAAAGGCGCCCCCATCTCATCTTCCCCAACCCAACCTCCAAATCGGAATAATCGTGAAATACTAGTAAACAGTCAAATAATATAAAAATTCTGAGCATATACGGCAATGCAACATGATGTACCATTGTTTATGTTAAACGCTTCATTTTTGGCATACGAGTCCACCGCCGCCCATTTGTGCTGCTCCGCTATCAGATCCGCATCCGAAGCCACAGAGTAGCAGTTCCACGCCGCTTTGCTTCCCGGGAACTTTAACGGCACTCTCTCGTGCTTGCAGATGGCGGCGTACACGCAGAGCGTGCCGACGATGTTCATCATGCTGTACGGAGAGAACCCGAAAAATGCATCGGGTCAGTGGACGGACCAAGTCAAGTCCTCCTTCTTCTCCACCTCAGAAAACAACAAATCTTCCAAGGTGTAGCAGAAATTCGAGTAGTCCAATCGGGGCAGGTCCTCCGTGAAGGGCGGCTCGTGGAGCTGGATCGGTTGGTCCAGGTCACGTAGAAGATGTGGGTGACGTCGGATAATGGAGAGAGCTTGGCCTTGGCGCCGTCGGCATCGGAGATGTCGCACTGGATGTACTCAACGGGGTGGTCGACGTTCCAGTTCGGGTAGGGATCGCGTGCGATGCCGTAGACCTTCCATGGACCTCCGGAGGTGTCGGAGATCGGGAGGATTTCAGCGAGGCTGTTGCCGCCTATGCCGGTGACGCCGATCACGAGACCTACACTCTCGGGGCTTCGCGGTGCTTCGTCTTCATCAAATTTTGTCTGCAAAATTCAGGAATAAAATGTTAATTACGCAGAAAAAGAAAAAGAAAAAGAAAGGGGAGTGATTTATGTGAATCTGTTCTTGTTCTAGGTTTCATTTTTTTTGAATTTTTTGTTATTTTATTTTTTAAGATCTATTTGTTCTTGTTATTATTTTTTTTGTTTTAACTTTACCTTTTCTCCAGCACAGTAAATAATTCTGGAAGGAGGAGCAGTTCATCCATGCTAACTGAAAAGACGCTTTTACCCTTAATTTTGACAGACAAATTGATAGATTTGGACGGCAGGACCTAATTGCAACTGTTTATCGAGTTAACAGATGTAATTGCCGAAAAAAAAAGTTCACGAACCCAATTGCAAATCGGGGTCAAGTTCAGGGATGTCTACAGTAATTAACCCCTAATAAAATATGAATTAATTAGGGTATTTATTTTGACCTAAGGAATATTTCTTTTTCACATGTCATCTTCTTATTAGCCGGTGAAATCTATGTTCTCACAAATGCCTACCAACTTTTGCATAGCGCTTGCGTGGCATAGAGGAGATGAGAAATATCTTCTGAGCTTTCAAACTGCATATGGGCTTTCTTCTTTGAGTTGGGCTCTTAATTGGAGTAGACTTTTGAATTTTTTTTTTTAGTTGGGCTCACAATAGGAATACGCTTGTGATTCTTCCTTGACCTAGGATGCCTAACTTTTATAAATATAAGGCTTCTCTTCACTCATCTTCAAATTGCACACTTGTCATCCTCTACTTTTAGCTTGCGAGAGACATCTTGAAGGAGTGTACTGCTTGTCGAAGAGGGGAGTCGTCATGCACACCAAGGTAGGTCAAATTTATTTATTTATTTTCCTTTTTCTTCGTGGCAAAGACCAGTTGGGTGGGCTCAGTTGGTTGTCGTTGTGGCACAATGCTGGTGGCAGCGAAGGTGGCATCGCGGTGGCTGCTGCGGCGGCTGCCGCGATCCTTCATTTTTTTTTTTTAAGTTGGCTTGCCATGACCCACTAGACAGGTTGCGGCTCGGCTCAGGCCGAGGTGTTGCATCAGCGACTCGGGCTGCGTGGCTTTGTTGATATTTTATATATATATATATATTGCAACTTAGGGTTTTGACATGCTATCTGACTTACAATTTTCTTTCCTTTTTGTAGTTATTCACTGATCATGTCTTCCGATGATGGTAGCCGATCACCAAGTTCGTGAGTGCCTTTGTACTTGTGAGGTGGTTCCAAAGTGTACAAGAAGAGATTCATGGCTAATTTGCATCGCGTTACGTCTAAACCTCACTTCCAGAAGTGGCGTGCCACCTATGCTAGCCACTACGGTTTGAATCGGCAATTTTGTGGGTTCCGCGGGATTGATGCCGACCCTACTTGAAATTATCCCCAAAAAAAATGTATGTTTTCGTTATTAGCTAGTTATTTAAAATACAAAATGCATTAATTAGTTAGATGAAAATACAAAATACATTGCTTTCGTTCATTATTAATGTACAATTCTAGACCCGTTTGATAACGACTACAACATTGGTAGGTTCAATATATTGAACAATTCTAGACCCGTTTGATATAATTTTTATTTTCATATTTCATGGTTATTTTTGTTATTAAGTAGAGGGTTTGGAACAATTTATTTATATTCAGAAGGAAGTCCTTAATAATTTATTATAGAAGCTTGAGCAATCAAAATTGCTTTACAACTCTCGCCCTCCCTCTCTCTTACAAGTTACAACCACATTTTTCCATGATTAAATAATAATAATAATAATAAGCAAAGAAGAAAGCAAAACATGACTGGATCAGGCAATCTGTTTTAGTTGTAAAATGTGTACGTAATTTGATAACGGGCGGTTCATATATAATGTTACACTATAGTCCCAATCGTTATGGCCGTATAATGTAATGCTCGTCCCAGAGTGGGCAGGAACATGTTGCTCTATTGTTCTTCCATTCAGCTCCACAAGTATAGCAAAACTGATGTCCACATCTACATAAAGACATTGCAAACATGAGACAAACACCAAGGATTCGTACAAGAGAACAATTTACCTACACAGAATGTGCATTGCCATGCGGATACTACCATAGTGGCATCCCATTGCATGAAAGTTTTTCTATTGGGACGGAGTCATGAAAATGTAGCAGCATCTAGTAAAGGAAAAAAAAAAAAAAAAGAAGAGAAGAACAAGGGTGAAACCTTTTCTTAACTTTCCTTGTAAGAGAAAAAAATGAATAAAGTGAAACCAAAGTAACTTTGCTAGCAAGTTTGATGTAGTGGCCACTCCCTTTTACAGCTAGTAAAGGGAATGCATATTGAAGTATCCGACCCCAAATTTTAAAACTTTTATACATGTGGCTTTATCAAATACTCAAGTCCTAACATCCATGTAGTGTGTGAGTTTAGTATATTATCGCCTCTCTCAATAGGAAAAGCCTTTAAGAGAAGGAAAACACTCCCCTACTTTGAGCAACAGGGAAATCTTAGTACCTTGCTTTTAATGTGTTTTCTAGTTGATTTTGGTTTTGGTTTTGGTTTTCGGTTCCAACTAGGATTTGAGGGATTCCTTTACCTACAAACTTGGGAATTTAAATAGGCATTTAACAGCGTTACAGGTTGAGATGCACCAACTGTGATAAAATTTTAACAAATTGTGAATTTGGATATATTGGGTGTATTGGAGATTCTATTGATAAGGTTTGAGATGAGTGACTGAAAAAAACAAAAAATTATTTGCCTTTTTATTGTACATTCTTCCCTATATGACATAGCTAATTTTAGAAATGATTAAAAAAAAGGGGACTAAAGCAGGACATAAGAAACCAAAAGATTAATCAAATTGGAGTGGAGGAGAGTAAAGCACCTGCAAATGATGTGGTAGCAACCACAATCAAGTTCAACCATATGTTTGCATTTCGAGCACTGGCGCCATAGTTTCTTCATTGCAAGGGACTTTACCAATTGGTCTTCCGAGCGGGAATAGGTTTCTGATCTTTGGTAATCATAGCAGCTCATATCATAGTGCCAAGGCACCCTGCAATTGATACAAAAATACTGATGGCATTTCATGCACTTCCTGCCTCCCTCACTAGCAAAAGAAGTCTTGGTATGTTCCAAGACTTCCTGTTTCGACATCAACGCAGAACACCTCGGAAATGTGCAGTACACTTTCTCCGTAACAGGAATAGAAGATTCCTTGATTCGTTCGATCATAATGTCAGCAAGTTCAGGTGACAAGAATTTTTTACAGGTTTCAGTATTCACTTCACACTTACAGTCTTTATGAGGGCATTGTGCCACAATCCCGCTTTGCAATTGCACTTTCACATGATGTTTCATACAAGACAAGCAATATTTGTGATGACAAGTACCAATTGAAAACATTCCAGCAATAGGATTGTCTTCAAAGCAAATCAAACAAGTCTCCTTCACACTCATGGCTTTGCAAGTTGCTGCAGGGGAGGTGCTCTGAGAAGCTATAGTTTCAAATTGCAAGTTTCGAAGCAAACTTAATGCCACCACTAAACACAAGCTGCAATATGCAAAGGTTCTTTCCAAACGAGTCACTTGATTGACGAATGCCGAAATCTCACTGCTTCCAGGAAGTGTGCTCATGACCTGTGACAATAAAACGTCAATCACATAAAACTCATGTGAGCATGGTTTTTTAATGAATGTTAACTGCAATAATGAAGATAAGAATTAAACGAATAATACAACTTGGCTTGCTGAAACTCATTTGAATCCTCTTTTGGATCATATCATCAAGAAAAAAAAAAATGTACTAGCTGGACAAAATGGTGTTAATACATGATCCTTGCTCAAAGTAGTGATATAATTAAGAAATCTAACATACTAAATCTAATAATTTTCTTTGTCCCAGAAACAAATTTACAGAAAAAAATGAACTTAATAATAAGATTGATAAAAGAAAATGAAGATTAGTACTTTAAAACTCACATATTGGTAAATCAGATAATCATCACAAAATATATGACCCTTTTCAACTTCAAAGTGAGAGCCAAAAGCTCAGCTGTTTTCCTGCTCCACACAGCAAAATGATTAAACTTTTGAGATTCTTCCTACTTTCGAATATCAAGTTGTCCCTGCGATCACAGATGGCAACTCCAGCTCCAACCACCACCACCTTCTTCCCCCCCACCTTCCTCCCCCCCCAAATATCAAAGGTTTCCTCCCTCAGCAAACCCTTGTAGTACAATTTGAAACAGTCGCTCGTCACCAAAGCCTTTGATGATGATGAAGGTGGAGGTGACGAGGCCTTGAAGGGTTGAGAGGGAGAGAGAGGTGTGCTAACTGTAACAGAGGAAGCAGAGAGAATTGAAGAGAGAGAGTGAAAGAATCGAAGCTTCCGTGTATTTCTACAGTATATCAAGAAACAGGGGCAGCTAGTATTTTATATTTGAGGGGGCCAAAACATTAAACACAAAAAGTTTAGTTGAATATTTTTTTGGGCCTATTGAGTAATTTATTACCTAAAAAAACGCTGAATTGAAATGAGTGGTTTTCTTTCATAAATGTAGTATAATTTTACCATTACATTCATATTGAAATACAATTTTGACAAGTACTGATTTGTGGTGAGGGGGCCACCATAAGCTTAAGTATAACAAATATTCTTTGCATTTGTTACCACATCGAATATATAATTTGGGGGCCAAGGCCACCCCTGGCCTTAATACAGCTCCACATACAATCCTTGGCTTATATACCTAGTCTTTAGCTTACTGATTAAGCAAAGTCATTAACGGACTTCTAACTACTTCACGTGATAGCACGTGGCTTTTACAACTAGCTTAACTAATTACTAACTAATCACAGCTTAACACTAATCATTAGGTAAACAAGGTGACATGACGGGCTTGTTTGGGAGTGCTTTTAGAGCAGCGAAAATCGCTTTTAAATGGGTGAAAGCGCTTTTGTCTTTTAAAAATGGTGTTTGGTAAAAATTGCAAAAGCTCCTTGGGTGAGATCCAAAAGCACTTTGAGTGGTTTTGGAAAAAGCACTTGAGAGGTGCTTCTTAAAAGCGTTGTAGGACAAAAACAAGGGAAGCACTTGACTCCCTTTAATGAAACTTTTAAAATACCAAAAATACCCATATTTAATTTTTTTAAATGCCAAAATACCCTTTCTTTCTTTTTTTTCTTTCTTTTTTCTCTCTCTTTTTTATCTCCTAATAAAACCCAAAAAAGCCCAACAGACGGGATAGAAGAGTATGCGCCAAGGCTGCAGTACCAAGAGTTAAGGCAGCAGCGATGGAGCCCCAGACCCACCTCTGTCTTATTTCCCTTCTCTCCTTCTCACGAGCTAATAACGGGAGGCATATCCAACAGGACCTAAACTATAGTTGGAAACAGAGAACTTGCACTAATGCACATTGAGTAGGGTATGGATGCACAGGTGCATGGTAGTCAATATTTGGCCACAAAGAGAAAACTGTTTAAATTACGTCCATAGAGAAGTTGCATTTTGTCAAGGACTGGGCTGTCCTGTTACTTTGAAGCCACTAACTAATGAAACAATACGTTCAAACCTACAGAGGGTTACAGGTTAAGCATGGAGAAAATTACAAAGTTCAACTGAAGCGGACCTTGTGAAGGATTATAATTTAACAACATAATGATTAAAAATTGTACTTGGTGAAGTTCATACGTTTTTAAGTCGTGTTTTTATTTTGGGATCCTATGAATTTTTATTTTTTATATTTATTATAATATTTTGGGATTCTTTAAATTTTTTTAAAGTATTTTTAAAAGCGTTTTTACTGTGTCAGCCAAACACTCAACAAAATATCAAAATCGCTTTTATATAGTGTAAAACCACTTTCAAATGTGACATCCAAACGACAAACTGCTTCTTTGTAGAAGCGTTTATGTCATAAGCGCTACTAGCATAAGAGCTACTGGCATAAGCGCTTTGGGAAGAAGCACTCCCAAACGAGCTCGACTTCGTTTGCATTTGGAAATTGGAGAAGGAAGGGTTTTAGTCGTTCATTCCTTGGAGTTCTGCTCCACGTCAATCAATTTCATTATCTCACAAGGGTCTTGATTAAAAAAAGAGGTTAATTTAAGTTTGGAATTATCTAAGTATTCATATTGTGGGAGTAAATATTTTCGTCTCCAATCACGGTACGCCACGTGGAAAAAAAGATTATCTCTTAAATTAATTAATTGAACCAGTTTATCTAGCCAATTAATTAATAGAGATAAATATCTTAATTAATAGGATATTATCTTTATTTAATAAAATAATATCATTAATTCAGATATTATCCTAATAAAGAGAAGATAATATCGTTAATTTAGATATTATCTTAATAAAGAGAAGATAATATCATTCAATCAAATATTATCTTCAATAAAGAGATATAATCAAGCCCGACTCAATCCCTACGAATTTGGGTAGACAATAAACTCATCATATTCTCTACGAAACCCTAGCATCGAGGCTCCTATAAATAGACGACCTCAGTCATCATTCAAGGTACATCTAAACCTACTCCAAATACCCAAGAAAAATACCCGAAGCTCTCTCCCTCTCCCTCTCCACTCTCCATATTTTCTCCACACGGCTCTGACTGCCTGGTTCACACCATACATATAACTCCGTACCCTTTGCTTAGCTATTGTTTTCCTAGAAACACTTGAACTAATTTAGGCATCGGAGAGTCTTTGGCCAACACCTCTTGGGTGTTATCACTCCCCGATTCGAAAATAAGGAATATTCTCGAATTAGGGTGTGAGTCATACCATAGTCATAATAATAAAATTTTACAACCATGATATGATGAGAAAAAGAGCCACAAATAAATACAATTTTACTAAACAACACATAATCAGAGTCGCAGTAGCTCGTAGTTAAAAACACACTAAGATCTTTATCAAACGGTTGACTACTTACAAATGTTAATTACACAAATCAATAACAAAAGCCTAGTAGCTTGGTTGAAACCCGCTCCCTCAAATTTCGCCTTGAATCCTACACATTCTATTAGGGTATGAGCATTTTAATGCCCAGTAGAGTACCGTCAAACCCCTCAAGGTCAACTATCACAGTTAATCAAAGTGTTATGCATCAAACAACACAAGATACAAAATTTTTGCAACCATACCAGATAAATAAATTTTCATATGCAGTGATGCCATGAATTCACTCCCTTCTAATCCCATAATTCATATCTTAGGGCAACAAGCCTGCATGTCCCATACCATGCGTTTTACCTATGTGGCTCCGAATACCCTAAAATATGAACTAGCGCCCGTCCGTCCCTTAACCCAGTTTTCTTCTGTTTACGAATTATTCAACTTTCACTTTTCATTAGAGGCCCTGCTCCCATCACCTCATTATATTCAAGCCCTGCTCCCATCACTTGAATATATTTTACTTTTTTTTTTACTCAGATATACCTCAAACGACACACACACACACACACCTCAAACACCATTGTGGTTATGATACATATGTAATGCAGAGCAAACATAATTCATCTGTGAGGAATAATAATACAAATAATAACAATAATATTTCAAGCTTAATCACATGAATAATAATATTCATCCAACATAAAAAATAATATCCATGGAGAAACATCGATAATTATATTCACATAACATCAAATAATATTCACCAAGCAAAGCAACAATAATATTCATATTTATAGTATTATATATAAGCACCAAGATTAAAAGTGATATAGCCCAATCATAGGGAATTAGGAAACCCTACCTCAGGTCCAGCTAGCTTAACCTTGTGCAAGTTCGTCCTCGAAAGTACGTAGACCTAAAGCCCTAAAAAACAAACTTGACAAGTTGTTCGACCCGATCATTACTCCCTTAACCTCACGTCCAAACAAGCATTAGAACCAAGCGTCAAGGAAAAACCAAACTATTCCCTTGCTATAATTGTTCTACTCTTTGGGATGTTTAAAATCAGATGGTTCGGCTCTAGACTCATAAAGAAAATTTAAAACATCAATTTAAAACAAAAACTTCAGTTTCGCTAAACATTTAGGTTGGAACACGTTGAAATAGGTACTTAGGTGACAAATGGTAGATTTAATTACACAACCAAGACAAAACAACTCAGCAATCTTCACACACTTTAAACCTTGACCAAATACACGTATGACTAGTCAACTGCTAGTCATGAACAATCACAATCAAGAGAACACACAGATCATACCACAATGTACCTGCAACCCTAGAAGATTACTAGTGACAACCTACGCACTCAGAAGGACCCATCAATCTAGGCATCCCCTGTGCTAGCAACAACTATGTGAAAGTGTGTGAAATCATCAAAATCATGCAAACATCAAACAGCAGATAAAGATGACTAGTCAACCATCAAGAACACAAACCCAGAAAAATTACAGATATGCAAAACAGATTTTGTTCACCCAGAAACCCACCATTGGGAAAAACTGGGAGTCATCAACCGACCAGGCAATCCACTAAGTAGAAAAAGATTCTTACAAAGGAAATACAACCAAGCTCAAGATTCACCTAGGTCAATTTAGGAATATGAGCAATACCTCCTTTGTGCAATCTCCTTCTCCAACTTAGCAAAACTTGAAGCTCAGTTCTTCATGGCAATGGCAGCTCCTTCTCCAGCTCGTTCATCCCATGGCACAAGCTTGCAAGTTCCAACACGAACCAAGAACAATATTTGGATTCAAAGGAGAATGACCAATTTCTTCAAGAAACCATACTCTTGAAGAAATCAGTCTTGAATCTGACCTAGATATAAATGAGAGATGATTTGAATAGCTAGATGCAGATTCGGGTTTTCAAAAGCAGTTTTTCAAAAAGAAATCAATTGGAAAAACTCATAGATGAAAAATATATGGTTCTCTCTTGAGGAAGAAGAGAAAGAAAGCAAAAACAATCTTTCCAAAAATTCCAC